ATGAACCCTTAGATATGTATTCTAATATTTTTTTCTTCCATGCATTTATTTCTAATGCATTTATAAGATTATCTCTTTGTTGCTTTGTATGTCCCTCCCCCACAGTATAACCCCTGCTTTCACTATATTTGATGTCAGTATAACTTGTGGAGGAGATGGTGAAAAACAAGTCGTTTAAGGATACAGGTAGACCTGTTGCAACAATGAGAAGTACAAGTTGTCATGTCGAAAATGAGCTTTACGACGTTGGGGGGGGGGAGGATTGGGTGAGGGGATAAGGGGGGAGGCGGGGGGAGGATGGGAAGGGATGTGAAGGGTAAACAAAGGAGGAGGCTGCAATGCTTGATAAGAAATGTACGCATTATCCTGCCCATGTAATTGTAACCCCTCTGTACAGTATGTTCACAAAAAAAAATTAAATAAAAAAAAAGAAATATAGGCTGCATAGTATCCCTCATCTGCAATAATTAGACTGTGCCTATAAATCTACAAGTAATCCCAATGGATAGTTAAAAACAACTAATTACACTTGGACAGGATTAATTAAACAGCACTCTAAACATTCACACAGAGACAACAAAGGAGGATATTCTTAGGAGAGGATCACAAGGGCTCAAGAGCTATGTGCATGTGATCTCATAAAATGGTGCTTATCAAAATAAACTCCAAGAAATGAAAATAAGAGGCTTTTTATTATACTGTTTTCAGTTCCTTATTTTTCCTATGATTTATTCCCTTTTGTCACTGTCTTTTATTTCTTTACTCTTTATCATATATAAGTTTATCTGGGGAGGCGAAGGAGAAGCACAGAAATGGTGGGACAAAGGGTAGACCAATTCAGCAGTGATATTAGACAGTTTGTAGGAAATGAACAAATTGGGAAGGGGAAGGGGAGTTAAGAGAGAAAAAACTGGGAGAAAATGAGGGAGGGGTGACATTGTTCAAAAAGAAATGTACTCATTACCTGATTTATGTAAATGTAACTGTTCTGTATATCACCTTTAAAATAATTGTTTTAAATTTTAAAAAATAACATTGATTGAAAACTTTAAATTTTTCAGAATCCACAGACACTTCAGGAAAGACTAAGAAGCAATGACCAATGGAAGAATGTATTTTCAATTTATATAACTAATAAAAATAGTATCTAGAATTTATTTATATATTTTAAATTTTTTAAATATATATTTTTGTTGTAAAGATACTGTACAGAGGGGTTACAGTTACCTGAGTAAGGTAATGAGTACATTTCCTATCGAGCATTTTTACCCCCTCCTTTGAGTATCTAGAATTTATAAGGAATCTAAAAGAGCACTTAGTAGTATTTAACTAGGTTTTATGTGCATTAACATGGCAATGTCTTAAAGCCTAAGGTTGAATGAAAAAGTAAAAGTTGCAGAATAATGTAATATAATAGTGTTTGTGAAAAGAGTGAAATCACAAACTATATATCAAAATATTTTAAAATCAATATATGCCCAGGAGATAGAAATAAAATTTATGGCTGTGATTAACTTTAGGGAGGTTAAGAAGGGAAAGAATACTAAGGGTTCAAAAAATGACTTCATAAATAATACTCAATTTAATTTAAATTTTGAAAAATGAAACATTAAGATTTCAATCTAGGTCATGGTTACTAAGTGTGTATATTATGTTAATTTCTGTAATATAAACATATTTGCCAAATATAAAAAGTATTTTTAAAGTCAAATAAATGAAATAAATCTTACCTTTTGTCCTACACAATTGCTGGGGGTTGAAAACAAATCTGGATTAGAGCTTGCTAAAACACCAATGCACCTGTACTGTATACATGCAATACAGAATACTGAATAGTGCATCTCTTACAGTGTCCCTCCTTGTGACATTCAGGATAATGAAGAAATGCCCTACATGATGCTTAATAGAATGCAACCAGAAGCTGAACTATGTATTCTGGGTATAAAACCTGTGATGTCTCCTGTATATATATGTCCTTAATTCTCAAAGGCATAAGTTCAATTTTGCTTTCTAAAAATGTAAGGAGAATAGTTAAGTGTAATTTAAACCTGAATAATGCTATGAAAATTCTCTGGCCTTTGTGCCATGGGCCTAGGCACCTTCTTGCTTTAAGCTACACATCAGTTACCTCTTTCATGAGTCTACTCACAGTTATTGCCTCATTACTCCTTTAATTACTGTTTGGTGTTTCTTTGATGGTTTTAGTTGTTTATGAAGCCAAATATGAGCCCCATATCTAACTCTAGAAGACTTTCTCTCCTACCTTTCAAATTACCTTTCTCTTCTGGAAATCTTTTTTTTCCATTGTATTTTACATTTTATACTAATGTAGAGATCATTGAAGGTATATGGGAGAAGATCATTTAAGGTATATGGGAGAAGGTACTTGGACCATGTAGAAATGTTTCCCATTTTATATATAGGATTTAGGAATCCACAGATTCTGATATCTGAGCTACAACCTAGAACCAATGCCCATATCTGTTGAGGAGGGATTGTCTCAAGGAGATATAATATATATATATATATATATATATATATATATGATTCTGTTAATTATTCTTTATTGTTATCATAAAGGTGATATACCTCTGTTATGGTTACATAATCAGATAAAAAGTACGTTTCTTTTTGAACAATGTCACCCCTTCCCTTGCTCTCTCCCATTTCCCTCTTGTCTCCACCAACAAGTTGTATAGTTCATTTTCAACACAAGTTCTAGTAAGTATCAATGCTGCATTTGTTCACTCTTTGTCCCTCCATTTCCCTCCCAAAGACAAATAGAAGAACATATTTCCATATGACAATGACAACTAGCAATGCCTTTCCCTTCTCTTCTGGGTATCCATGCCAACTATCGAACTCAAATTTAATGCCTTTACCCCCATTCTCAAGACTTGAGTTATGAACTTAGTGTATTTTCCATCTTGATAATGGGATTGGATCTAAATCTCTTTATATGACATTTAAGATGATACTAACATGAAATGTTAGAAATACAATACTTTTTGTGGTTATATTAATCCACAGAGAAGAAATGCTATCTCTGGGAATGGCCTAGGTCAAAGTCAAAACTACAAGGACACTCTTTTCCAATAATATACTTCTGTGACAGGAAATAATCATTAAGTTGACCCACAAAGATGCATGGATTACTTACATTATTTGACAGGCTTAATATTTATGAATTCTTGGGGTACACTCAACTATTCCTTTTAACTGTCAACACTCCTGGTAGGAACCTAATGAAACCACCCAACTTACTTCTTCTTAAAGGTGGAAATTGAGTTCGTTTTTAATTAAAAATGTAAGAACTGTGAAATACATCTTCTTAGTAGCTGACTTTGTGAAATGGTCCTCTATTTCTGTGTGTGTTGCTTTTTTCCATCACATTTCCTCTTTACCAATTTGCTGGTATAAAGGCACAAAACAAATCAATAACAATGACCCACAAAAGTATGCATATTGAAGAAAAACTGGCTAGAGTTTAAAAATCTGTCGTTCTTTTATCTCTCCATGTTCAACTTTGAAGACAAAACTTTTAGACAAGACCTCACTGACTTCATTGGTCACACAGCCAAAAATGTCAACCACATTCACAAAAAGATAGTCTCCCACCAATGCTGTGAATCTGTCAGTTGTTTTCAGTACTGTAAACAGTTTTTCCAAAGACAGCATTTTTACAACATGCAGATCAGACCAATTCCAGAAACATTTCTAGGTCCTGATATGTGCTACTGGTAGAAATATTCCAATGTATTGATTTCCTCTCATTGTGCTGATCCAAAAATAATTGCTTTTTTGTGAATTATTTTGAGTCTGAACTCCATTAAAAAAGTTGGTTGAGGGGCTGGGAAGGTAGCTCAGCAGTAGAGTGCATGCCTTGCAAGCATGAGGCCCTGGGTTCCATTCCTCAGCACCACATAAACAGAAAAAGCCGGAAGTGGCGCTGTGGCTCCAGTGGTAGAGCACTAGCCTTGAGCTGAAGAGTTGAGGGACAGCGCTAAGACCCAGAGTTCAGGCCCCATGACTGGCAAAAAAAAAAAAAAAAAAAAGTTGGTTGATAAAAATGATTTTAAAATACCTTTACTACAAGTTCTATGAATTTTGACAACAAATAAAAATGCTTAAGTAAATATTATGTGTGCATTTAAACTCTTTGACTATATCTTACCTTCGACAGATTATCCACAATCATATCAGTAAGTTTTTGGTGAATAGTTTTAAGATTGTGAAACAAATGTTCATTCACCAAAAAAAGAGATACATTTGTGTCAGTAAGTGAAAAAAAAAACCATCCGACAAATAATAAATCAAAATGTAAACACTTTAAAGGAGATTTTGGCATTCCATGAATTGCATTGCTGTCTCTGGTACAATATATTCTGCCAAAAAGAACATTTCTAACAATCACTTGCCATATACCATACTTCAAGATGCTTTCCTAGTACTTACAATTTTTACCATGTCTCTTCTTTTTTTCTTTTTGTTGGTCATGGGGCTTGAACTCTGGGCCTGGGCCCTGTCCCTCAGTTCTTCAGCTCAAGGCTAGCACTCCACCACTTGAGCCACAGCGCCACTTCCAGTTTTCTAGTTGTTTATTGGAGATAAGAGTCTCATGGACTTTCCTACCCAGGCTGACTTTGAACTGTAATCCTTAGATCTCAGCCTCCTAAGTAGTTAGGATCATAGGTGTAAGTCACCAGCGCCCTGCCCATCTCTTCTTCATACCAGACTTAGGAAGAGCCACAATCCTCCACTTCACTTTTTTGTCCCTGCATCTCCTCTTACAATCACAGATACTTGTGCTCCTATAGTTCAGTAATGTAAGTTTTCATCCATACCCATGTCTGTGAAGCTGTAATAACTAAATAAGCATTCACCAGACTCTCACAATGTTCCCAATGCTGCCTCTGCAAATTTCATGTCAAATACCAAAGTGAATCAAAACTCAGTCGCTTAATCATTCACACATCCAAATCAGAAGACTATGTTTCTACCTTTTTTTTCTTCTCCTCCCTTTGTAATAATTCTTTCTTTTTCCACAGTTTTTCTTTCTTCTTCTCCTGCTCTCTTCTTCGAGCAGAAATTTCCATTTCTAGCCTGGCTACTTCTTCCTGATGGGCTCTCCATTGAAAAACCTAAAACACACAGAAACATCCCATTTCAACATCTGGCTTCTCTATCAAGTACAAGTCGAACTTTTTCCAAAGGCAGTTTAAATTCCATGTGCTTGAATGTATGATTTATTTTTGCAAGATATGTGTTTGTTAATATTAAAAAGAAAAAATTAGCTTTAAAATAATGTCATTCAGAAGTACTTTACCTGGACTTATAGAGTGAATTTGTAGACATTATGATTTTTTTCTTTTTTAACTTCAAAGGATCAGTGAGTTCCCATAAATAGTACTAAAAAAAAACCTTCTGGCTGTAAGATGTTGCTCAGTGATAAAGCACTTGCTAGAACATGCAAGGCTCTGATTCCATACCCAGCACAAAAAAGGAAGGATGGAAAGAAGGAAGGAAGGAAGGAAGGAAATTTATTTTTAAATCTTTATCACAGTAGTTTTCCCCCCTAGAAAGTAGGTAAAACAACTCTCAAAAATTCAAAAATGAGATTATTTCTTTGTTGCTTTGTATGTCCATCCTGGTGCCCCAGTATAACCCCTGTTTTCACTCTATTTGAAGTTGGTATAATTTGGGGAGGGGAAGGGAAAAAACAAATTGTTTAAATAGGGATACAGGTGGACCCATTGCAACAATGAGATGTAGAAGTTATGTCGAAACTTTACAAGTTTGGTGGGGAGGGGAGGTGGGGGAGGGTATGGGAGGGTGGTAAGGGGAAACAAAGGAGGAGGCAACAATGCTTGATAAGAAATGTACTCAGTACCTTGCTCATGTAATTGTAACCCCTCTGTGTGGTATTTTCACAATAAAAAAAGTTACTAATATAAAAAAATTCTAAAATGATCCTATGACCTTCAAAAGCTTAAAAACTACTGAAAATTTTCAGTTTTCATATGTTTAAGTATGGAAAATGGGCATGAATTAATATGAAAAAATTATGACATGGAAAAAAATCTAACTGGGTACCAACATTTGTGATAAGAAGCATAGTGGTTGTAACTTTTATGTAGGCTTTCTGGAAATTTTTGGAAATGTTTATCACAATATAAAATATGCCTAATCTTTGATCAACAACCCTGCTCACAGGAAATGATCCAAGGCAATCAACTGGACAAACTGCAAAACATTCACCTGCTCTTCTGCTTAAAATAGGAAGGGAAGAGTCTAAATGTTTAGCAAAAGGAGATAGCTAAATTAATTATGGTACCTGCATGCAGTACAATTGAAAAAGGATGCTAAATTTCTAATTTCATTGACATAGAAAATATCCACAGTGTGTTATTAAACACAAAAAGTAGGTACAAACCATATTTATAATTTTATTAACATATATATTATTTATATATCCACTGAAATAAAGACATTTGGAAAAAGGTTGCCAAAATAATCATATTGATTATCTCTGAATAACAGCATTTCATACCACTTTTTTTAAAACCTGTTCTTTAAACTATTTGGTGTGTGTGAAATTTTTGTGATAAATGGTATTTTCTTTATAAGCAGGAAATCAATAAAACTAAAAAAAAAACACAAACACCTGATCGATCTGCCTGAGGAAGCAGTGTGGCCGATATTGCAGAAGTGTACAAAATTGATTTTAGAGACGAAAAACTATCCTTCTTAATTAAATATCTAATATTGTACATATTTGGTACATTATTCATTAATCATAATATATAAAATAACACATTGAAAAAAATAATGTCCTACAAATATAATTAAAGTGACACCAAGAAGTTTTTGTTAACTAAATTTATTTTAGTTTCTTAAAAACATATTTTGGCATGATCATCAAAATGAGCAAGGGCCTTGCCCCTTCTGGTTTTCAAGCAGATTCCCCACTGCTGGTTTTCCTGTCATAGGTGCCTTCTTCGTTAAAACTGCAGTCTGAGAAGACATCATCCTGGCCTCTGTCCTCACTACTGTTCCTCACCTTTCCCTTCTGTAGTTCATAGTCTATCTGTACCTGACTTCAGTCAGAATCCAAGGGCTTTGTCAAGGTCTGTCAGCAATTTCTCTTGCTCTTGAATTACCAAAGGGTACTCTGTTCACCTCACCATGGTACCTGATCTGTTGACCATCCTTTCTTGTTTAAAATCCTTTCTCTCCCAGGTCAGACCACAGTTCTCTCTTGCTCATTTGTCAATGGCTATTTATCTCTTACTCCTGCTTTCAATTGTTTACCCTGTACCTCCAACTCTACAGTGTTCTCTGCTGGTCCTCTAGTCTTTCAATATTTGTTATTTAATATTTTTATCCTTTTCTATGGGTTCGTCATTTCTAGGTCTATGTCTGCAAGGCCTATAAGATTGGAGTTTTGTTCTTGTTTTTATTTTTTTAATTTTTGGTGTCAATCCTTGAACTCAGGACCAGGCTGCTGTCCCTGAGTTTTTTTGTGCTCAAGGTTGGTGCTCTATCACGTGAGCCACAGGTCCACATATGGCTTTGAGTAGTTAATTAGAGATGGACTTTCCTGCCCAGACTGTCTTCAAACCCTAATCTTCAGATCTCATCCTCCTTAGTAGCTACCATTGCAGGTATGAGCTACTGACACCGAGTTTAGGAATGGTGCAATCAAATCCTGTAACAAATTCCAAAGGATTTGACTGTTTCTATGTACACTTTAAATCTGACCTTTCCAAAATTAAACTAAATATGTATAATTTGCTTCACATTGAGTCCTTTGTAATTGCCACTCCTTTTCAAATACCTGGTTTGGTCTGTGGCACCAGAAGTCTCTCTGTAGTTTGGATTTATTTTTTATGTATAGCCATCAATGTGACTGTTGTATAACTAAGTTGAAAGGGAATATTGTTTTTAAGGGCTTGGGAACAGTTACTTGGTTCATTCAAAAATCTTTCTGCCACATGCATTTAGAAAAAGATATGGGTATCCAGGTGCCGGTGGCTCATGCCTGTAATCCTAGCTACTCAGGAGGCTGAGATCTGAGGATCACGGTTCAAAGCTAACCTGGGCAGGAAAGTCCATGAGACTTTTATCTCCAATAAACCACCAGAAAACCAAAGTGGTAGAGCCCTAGCCTTGAGCTCAAGAGCTGAGGGACAGCGTCCAGGCCCAGAGTTCAATACCCCACAACCGACAAAAAGAAAAAAGGAAAAAAAAGAAAAAAAAAAGATATGGATGATGTGGATCAATATAAGATCTCCGTATAGTTTAACTATGTCATTTCCAGCCAATGTCTAATTTTAATCTGGGGAGCATGCCTCTGGGTGCTCCCTTACATGGCCATTCTGATTCTCAATTTCAGGGAGCAATTCTAAATTCCACCAAGAATGCTCTCAGATGTCCTCTGCCTCATAAAACGTTCACTGTTCAGCTCATAACCTAGCCATGGCCACCGTCTTCCATGAAACATTCTCCAAATTACTCTCTTCTTTCACATCCTTCTGCCCTTATTTCATGTGCCATATCATATCTGATTTCTACTTATTTTAAACATACTGATGGTTTTCACACAGAATATGGCCAACATATTTGCCTTTCCCTTGTATGGTCTAGCAGAGTACTGGTGTATCATAGGATGCTCAATAATTGTCTTTTATCTAATTCACTAAATAGTTTAATAAAACATAATAAATAAGAAGATACAATTATATTAGAATACATAATTTGTAGCATCTAATTAAATAATGTGTGATAGCTAATGACCATCAATGGTTACTAAAAACTTCATATTAACAGTTGCTATGAAACTTTCAATAGGTGACTCAAGCTGGCAACAAGAGAAACAAGCAGATACTTTGCCTCCTTGTGAAATCATGTGGCATTCACATAACTGTTCTTGACAAAAGAAAAAAGAAAAATAGAAAAGAAACTGGGCACTAGTGGCTTACACCTGTAATATTAACTGTTCAGGGGGCTGAGATATAAAGATTATGATTCAGAGCCGGCCTGGGCAGGAAGGTCTGTGAGACTCTTATCTCCAATTAAATGCCAGAAAAAGGAGAAAAAAAGCTGGAAGTGGAGCTGTGGCTCAAGTGTTAGAGCCCTAGCCTTAAAGGAAAAAGAAAGCTCAGGAACAGCACCCAAGCCCTGAGTTCAAGCCTTAGGACCAGCACAAAACAAACAAAAAAATGAATGGGGCTGAGAAGTTGGCTCAGTGGTAGAGTGCTTGCCTCGCATGCATGAGTCCCTGGGTTCAATTCCTCAGCTCCACATAAGCAGAAAAAGCCAAAAGTAGCTCTGTGGCTCAAGTGGTAGGATGCTAACCTTGAGCTGAAGAGCTGAGGGATGGTGCGCTGGCCCAGAGCTCAGCCCCCACAACTGACAAAAAAAAATGAATCTGATCAAATGTCTAGATCTATGTACCAACTTATAGGAAATTCAGCAATAGAGAAACACATTAAATGTTAGTAGATAAAAAAAATAGACCTGCAATATTTATGAGAAAATTTAAAAGATCAAAAAATAAATTACAAAAAGGGGATAGGACAATTATGGATTCAAGGCATTGATGCACTACTTGGGTTACATTTAGATTCTTATTTGAAGAGAACAAATGTAAAGAGAAATTATGAAATAATTAGAGCCATTTTAATACCTCTTGGTTAGATAATGGTATTAAGAAAATAAAGTTTCTAGGTATAACTTTGAAGGTTTCTACAGTTATGCTCTCTTATTATTTCTTTTCATGTTAAAGAGCTATACTTAAATCTTAACAGACATAATGTCTGACATTTTCACTATTACCCAAGGGGCATAAGAGAATAAATGAAAGTATGAATAAAACAAATCCAACTAATGTGTTGATAAGTATTGAAATGAACTGATGTTAGGCTTTGTATATGTTTTTAAATGTTCATGTTAAAACTTTATTTGAAAAACATAAAACATGATGTCTAATGAATTTATCTACTGAACTACAATGTATTCTATCAAGATTCTGAGACAGCAGGGAGAAGACTGCACTACTTTGAAGTAAGTTTCTTTGTTATGCAAAGAAACAGAGTAGATCCAGATTTCCTGAGTACTGAAACTATGTTTATAGATTGCA